ATCAACTTACAAAAGCTCGGTCAAATTACTTTAGATTAACCGGTTTGTTCAATTTTGGCCAAACCATGAACACTCAACGATCATAAATTGAACAATTTTAGGCTAAAAATTGATGGGATGCCGTCGAGTTACGACTTGGTCTTTAACTTGGGCCGGAACAAGGTTTAAATGAGCGAAGTCGAAGTACCAATGGGTTGTCGGTAATTGGGCTTTGAAGTTAGGCAATTTGTACACTTGTAGGCCATTTTGGGCTGTTGAAAGGCTGGGTGATCATATGGATTTTTGTACTTTTAAGAAGTTGCATTTTACCATTTGGATTGCAAATTTTGGCACCTCTTATAACAATTGAGCTTTATGGCAATTATAGATGGCATTTAGACTGACTTTACAAAGTAATACTTTCACTAGGGGTGTTTAGAACCGTTGGGTCATTTAAACCGGTCAAACCAAGTTAAACAAGACCGTTTTTGAATTTTTGATTTGAACAGTATGGTTGGTTCAGTCTAGTCTGAAAAATAGTCAAACCACTTGGTCTGGACTCGTCTATGGTTTACATGTTTTTTTGAGCGGTTTAAACCGAACCGACCGTCAAGATGCATATGTTTTAATTATATTTAGTTTTCATGTTGTAGGCTCAACCATTATGACCCAATTAAAAAAGAAGTCCGCCGAAGATATTAAGTTTTTAGTTTTCAATTCTCAACCATCCGCATCCCCTAAATTGCAAAATTCAGAAATCCATCAAAAATGAAAATCCGAAATTCCAAAAATTCAGCGTTAAAACTGGGTACTTACTATACGATCTTATTTTCTACTTATCATACTTTTAAGCAAGATAAATTTTAAAAACAAAAATACTTGACATTTGGACTTTTTGGAGATTTAAAGTAACCGAGAACTACTAAAAACTGGTGGAAAACATCAACAATAATTGATGCTTATCGATCTTTGATGAAGGATTTTCCAAAAAGATGTTTTAGTGATTTTCACTCTGTAATGACAATAAAAACGGATTTCTCACTAGGCTTCAAGGTCTAACCCTCATTTGTATTTCAACTCACATTACAGGTCAGACACAATCAAACGATAAAGGGAAAGAAAAGTCGTAAAGACTTTTTATTTGCTTGCATGGGAGATTGCAAAGTTGAGTTATCTTTTGTATTTGATTATCTGTTATGAATACAAGTTTTGTACTAAGATATGTGAAAAAGTTTAGTAACTACTTTTGTATTATAGTTTTTGTATACTTTTAAGATCGAATATCTAAAGTTATATTTCTTGATATATGAAAATATATAGTTATATTGAAACGATAATTAATATACAAATCAAAATCAAATCTCCTTTTCTATGTTTTCAGAATACAATTTGACTCGAAGATGATTTATTCAGTAATACTCATGAAAAGTATTGTTATACTTTCATTCATTTTTTGCCTTTGAGTAGTTAAGAACTTTGTTTCCTCGTGTTCATCACTACCAAAAAACCCACTTTTTCCGGCAGCCAAATCCGTCGGAATCCGCCGGAAAAAGGAATTTCCGGCGGATTTGGCCGCCGGTGATTGTTTTTCCGGCGGTGTTTTCGGCGGATTTTCCCTGTTTCCGGCGGATTACGGCAGTCGGAAATTCTTCCCCCGTTTTTAAAAAAATCTTGATTAAGTTAACAAATCCTTAATTTTTTTTAATTTCCGGCGGAAAAATCCGCCGAAAATATTTCTCGCCGGAAAAATAATATTTTCTAAAAAATTTAATTTTTTTTAAAAAAAATACCGGTGGATAAATCCGCTGGAAATCAGCCGGAAATATATATATATATATATATATATTTTTTTAAATAATAATATTTTTTGAAAGAATTAATTTTTTAAAAAATACCGGCGGATATATCCGTCGGAAATCCGTCTAAAAATTATATAAATATTAATATTTTTTTAAAAATAATATTTATAAAAGAATTAATTTCTTTTTTTAAATACCGGCGGATGTATCCGCCGGAAAAATATATAAATATTAATATTTTAAATTTATTATAAAATTAATATTTAAAACTTGTATTTAATACCTATATTTAAAACCTGCAAATCCGTACAATATTAAAATTGAAAATAAAAAGGCGAAATAGAACTAAATATCATACATTAAAGTGAAACTACAATTATTCCAACCAAACAAAAACTAAATTGTTATAAACAAAACTAAATTGTTTCAAAGCAAAAGACAATATTCAATATGGTGGTGGCGGGGGGAAATGTTGAGATTGACTGAGTTGTCTAACCAAAGCAGTCATATCTTGAAGTTGTCTATCTTGTTGCTCCTCCCTCTGTTGTCGTCGCTCCGCCTCCACCCGCTGTCGCTCCTCCTCCGCCAAACGTCGCTCCTCCGCCGCCCGCCATCGCTCCTCCTCCGCTATCCGTTGGCGCTGACTTTGTTCCTGTAAGTCTCTAAGTTGGGTCTTTAAGGTTTGAATTTCCTATAAAATAAATAAAACGTTATAATATTTAATATAAATTATAAGTTAAGTCGATAAACATCATCAAAATAAAAGAGACACATACGTGCTTATCTGAAGACGATGAACCACCTTCCGGAAAGTCCCCGGTCAAGACACAATTGGGATCTTGGTTGTACCCAAACCCAAATAAACGACTTTTTTTGCTTCCCCCAACCGCTTGCTCCTACAACTCTTTATCAACTAAGGAATAGGTCGCTGTATCTTTGGCTGATACCAGTTGAATACTCATCCTATATATAGTTTAAAAAAGATTGCAAGTCAATTTTGACAGCATAACGGCTGTAAATGGGACGTTTCCAAAACAATCCTAACGTTTGCCCAATAAATAGCAACCCAAACTAAATAATGACATATACGTAATTTCTAACTTAAACAATCCTAACGTTTGCCCAACAAATGGCAACCCAAACTAAAGCATGATATATACGTAATTTCTAACGTAAACAATCCTAATGTTTGCCCAACAAATGGCAACCCAAACTAAATAATGAAATATATACGTAATTTCTAACTTAAACAATTATAATGTTTGCCCAATAAATGGCAACCCAATTATCATAGATAGATATACTTACCATGATTTGGCTACACTTAGTGGTCACGTACCCCCCCGAATCCGTAGATGCGGCATCTCCACTCGACCTCTTCTTGTGTGTGTAATCGAATAATTGCACAACGGTCGGGGGCACGCCATCTTTTGCTCGTGTCTACAAAGGTCAAATTATACAAACATGTGTTAATTATATGTTAAAAATCAAGCTACTAAATTTATAGGTTTTAGGTTCTACTAGACGAGCACCATGCTCCGAAAATGGTATCAATCCACCGGTGTGTAGCGAAACTTGGCTATCACGGTTCTCACGCGCCACACCGGAAAGAGCCTTCCAATTATCACTGTTCCAACGATCGACCATCTGGACTCACACATCTGAAGATATCCAGTTGGGGGGGGGGGAATTCTTCAACACACTCATATCCCGGTGGGGGTCCGTTTCATCGTACTGAGGATACTCATTCATCCTTGCTTTTTCCCCAGCTTTCTTCCTCGCGGCACTCATGTTATCATTATACGGCTTGACCGACTTTCTCTCMCATATCTCCAACATCTGGGCATCCAAAGCCGGATCCCAAATATAATAGCCYTGTACGTAAAAGTTTAGGCGATTATTAGGTTCAATACATAAATTATAATAAGTTGAATATATAACACAAACCTGAAACCGCTCCCACATTCGGCGTCTCACGTCCTTTGATATTTTCTCCCAAGTGGTCTATGGGCCGTCAAGCAGCTCTCGGTTGATCTTGGTGATCCGCCTGATCACTTTGGTGTCATTGAAACTATATAATGACGAATTGAATTAGCGTCAATACAAATAATATATTTTTATCATTTATTTAAGGTGTAAATGTATTTACTCTTGGCCGCGGATGCCAATAAACGTCCGTTGTTGTGGAAGCGGCTCTTGGATTTCCGCCGGAAATGATAATTTTTTTAGAAAAATTATTTAATTATCCGCCGGAAAATTGTTTATTCTTTTTTTAAAAAAATTATTTAACTTTCCGCCGGAAATGGTAATTGTTTTTAGAAAAATTATTTATTTTTCCGCCGGAAAATTGTTTATTTTTTTTTAGAATTTTTTTTAATATTCCGCCGGAAATGGTTATATATTTTTTTTAAAATATTTAATTATCCGCCAGAAATCCGCCGGAAATGTTAAATTTTTTAAAAAAATTATTTATTTTTCTGCCGGAAAATTGTTTACTCTTTTTTTTTAGGAAAAAATTAAAAAATCCGTCAGAAATCCGCCGGTAAAATGTTGTAAATTCAAGATTAAACTAAGTAATTAAGAAATCCGCCGGAAATTGTTGAAAGTCAATAAAATGTTGACTTTTTTAGTGTCCGCCGGAAATCCGCCGGAAATTTACCGGTGGATTTCGTCCGCCGGAAATGACGCCGGAAATGCTCAGTTTTCTAGTAGTGATCATTATGTAATAATGGTGCTTTTTTTTATCATTTCTTGCGTTTCCGTATCAATCTCACATATATACATACATGTATACATACATAATATATATATATATACATACATATATATATATATATATATCTTTCTTAGTTAATCATATAAAAGATCAAGAACACTAAAAGAAAGTTGTGTTGCCAAATTGATACTTCTCTTACAAACAAATAAAGTAAGTACTTTTCAATCTTCAGTATCACTTAACTTGTTTTGTTTTTTTCTTATACACGTTTGATCCTGTACGTACTACTTGGTTGTAAGGGGCCTAACAACCAGTTCCATTAATCGTAAACAGTCGCCATAGTAGGTGGGGTTGGTTCAACTCCAAGTATAGGGGTAAGGCCATATAAAATTATTAAAACCACATAAACTAGCTAGCTCAGGCTACCCTATATGTGTTCTGGAAACAACTGCCATAAAGATCAACTCTATGTAAACATATATTACATCTCCATGCTGATCATCTCAAACACAGGAAGATCATGGAAAGCAAAGCCATTAATGATCTTTCGGACAAAGACATTATATGCACAGGTTGGTTTAGGTCTTGTAAAACATATATCTATCTATATATATATATATATATATGTATGAATGAATGTTTTTTACTTATTAGTCCCCAAAATTGATGATTTATCTGATCAATGATCATATGTATTATGCATGATGTGTGAATCGAAGCTGCTGTGGCGTGGGGTCCTGGGCAGCCTTTGACTATACAGCAAATTCGTGTCCAACCCCCTCAGAAAATGGAAGTTCGAATCAAGATTCTTTTCACTTCAGTTTGCCATACTGATCTTAGTTCTTGGCAGGGCCTGGTACGTACATTTGTATATGTATATATTAAGTTGTCGTTTAATTCCCATCTGATTCACATATATATAATCTTTATATATATATATATATATAGAATGTATCTCAACGAGTGTATCCTCGGATTTTTGGACATGAGGCCTCCGGGTAGGTAACATCTTGGACTCTTAACAAATTCTGTAAAGATTTCAAATGTATATAGTTATTAAGTAATTGGTAATTGTGGTAATTAGTTGAGTTATGTTATGGATGGATTTAGGGTGGTTGAGAGTGTAGGGGAAGGTGTGGAGGACATGAAGGAAGGGGATCATGTTCTTACCATCTTTAATGGAGAATGTGGTGAATGTGTTTATTGCAAGTCCAAGATCACCAATCTGTGTGAAAGGTTTCGTGTGGATCCGTTACAAAGTGTGATGAGGAATGATGGGAAGACGAGGTTCTTGACTCAAGATGGAAAACCCATTTACCATTTTCTAAATACATCCACTTTTACTGAGTACACAGTCGTGGACTCCGCCTGTGTCGTCAAGATTGATCCAAAAGCTCCCCTCGACAAGATGACCTTACTCAGTTGCTGTCTCTCAACAGGTTTATATAATACATATACATATATTTACATAAATATAGACTATATATATAACCACCTAATTGTAATCTACTGATTTTATGTGTGAACTGTGAAGGATTTGGAGCTGTAACCAATACTGCAAACATACACCAAGGGTCAACTGTGGCAGTTTTTGGATTGGGTGCCGTAGGATTGGCGGTAATATATATATATATACACACACACACACACACGATCTATCTATCCATCTTTTGGTGAAAAGGGTACTTCAATTTCTAGCTCTTGTTACTATATTGGGTTTGCAATGGTTGAAGCAGGTGATACAAGGAGCCAAAACAAGAGGAGCATCTAAAATCATAGGAGTTGACATCAATGTCGACAAGAGTATCAAAGGTAACTACATATACATACATATATATATATACACACAGACATACATAACAAGTTCTATAAATGTTGATAGGTGAATCAATGGGAATGACAGATTTCATAAACCCGAGGGATTTTAAAACGTCAGTCCATGAGGTAATTCAATTCGTGTGCCGTATTTATATATCGAATTCGATTTGAAAATTGATGGAAAATGAATCATGTATTGATTACAGAAAATAAGGGAAATGAGTGAAGGAGGGGTGGACTTCAGCTTCGAGTGTGCAGGAAACCTTGATGTTCTTCGTGAAGCCTTCTTGTCGACTCACGACGTTAAGCATTGCTATATATGCATTCATTAATTCGTCAACTTCAAAACTAATATTACTTTCTTTATATATCGATATATATATATATATTCATGAGTAGATCTAGAGTTACTTAGATGCATGGGATTTGTATATATGCAGGGTTGGGGGTTAACAGTAGTATTGGGGATTCATCCAACACCAAGGATGTTGCCATTACATCCAATGGAGTTGTTTGATGGACGAAGAATCACAGGATCAGTGTTTGGTGGTTTCAAAGCCAAGACCCAACTTCCACTTTTTGCCCATCATTGTATGCATCATCAGGTACGTATATATGTTTATATATGTATCTGTATAAACTACTTGATGTTTTATATATATATATATGTATTCCTTCTTTTCCATTTATCATCATGATTAATATTATATATATATATACACACACACACACTTGCGTGTGTGTGTGTGTGTGCATGGATGTTTCAGGAGGGGCTAAAATTGGAGGAGTTTATAACCCACGAGCTTCCTTTCAGCAGCATCGACCAAGCTTTCCAACTGCTCATTAATGGAAAATCATTAAGATGCTTGCTTCATCTTTGAATTATATTTAAACATATATTATTAACTATATTGTTGCTTACAATTCAATTAGACAATAAACTTTGGCTGAACAGCATTTTCGACAATTTTCTTCACATAACATGAATGTTGCTGCATACATTTTTAAAACATGACTTAGAAATTAGAAAAGAAATATAGGATTAACCGACGGATTATGTCTCGGTGATTGAAATCCGTCGTTAATCTGTAGGTAATCACGATCACTAGCTACACTTTCTTCAACGATGAGATCTGCCGGTGATGTTTTTCCTCGGATTTTTGACGAATTCTTTCGTCGGTGAAGTCTGTTTCTTTTGTAGTTTAAGTCCTCTGTTATTATCGACATCTTTTGTCAATTGGTAACTTCTGTCACTGAAAATTTGGTTTCTAGAAGGGTAATTGTTTATTCGATTTTGACTTGAAGAGTCTATTTGGTTGTTTTTACATTAAAAATATTGTATGAATCAAGTTGGTTGTATGAATTAGATAAAATTGTTGTTTGTTTGTTGTGCTGAATAATCTGTTTGAATGATGAAAATGACCATGTTATACCTTCATCGATTTTTTCTTTGTCACACTACAAACAGATATTTTTTTCCCGTTTCTGTAAGCATTTATTAATCAAACATACAAGAGACCACACATGTTTAAATTTCACATATTTCCAATAAACCTAGAATGAAAAGGAATTTAATTTAAATACAAAAAAAAATCACAAGATCATATAATAATTAATAACCTAAAACCAAAAGAAATTCATTTTAATCTAAAAAACTTAACGTCATGCATACAAAACATATTGAGTAATACAAAACCATATCGAATAATATCCAAGACTTATCAAGTAATTGTATTTTGACTTAACATCCAAAATATTACATACTAACATGAAAAAAAATTAGATTCTAAACCTAGTTTGAAAATAGAAAATTATGAATTACCGATTTAGTTGAAAAACAAAGAGGATTAAAGTTTCTTTGTGAATTTAGGTTTCCTAGAAGTTCAGATGTAAGATCTAAATCTTTGTTTTTCGAACTGGGATTTGGTATTTTGCATCTTCAACCTTCTCATGCTCTTTGGGATGTTTTATTAGAGTTTTGGGAGTAAGAAAATGTTCTTGACTTTCACACCTTAAGATTTGGGTGCTTAGTTTGAAGATTTCAAGTTTTCACCAAATGAAGCTCAAGATTTGGAATAAAACTTAGATTTAGAATAAATCTAGCAAGCTGAGTTTTAGTTGTTTTGCAAAACTACGTACATGTCAAAATATCTTTATTTTGGGGTTTTCAACACATTTCCATGAGTTTAGTTCATATTTAATGAGTCCTATCATATCTCTGCATTTTGGGTAGCATATCTGGGTTATGAAATCTTTAAAGATTGCTTATGTTTATTTTATTGGGTGTTTTGAAACACCAAAAGATACTTATTTCACCAAAAATTCTTGGATATTTGGATGATTCAATTCGGGGGAAAATATTATTTTGAACTCTTGAAAAATGTAACTTGAATCAATAATGATTTCATTGAATTTGTTGAAATTGAAAGGTTTAAAGTCAAGCGTTGTTTTGAGATTTTACTCAACTTATGAACTTTTATTGGTGGCATTTGATCATAAATGTATAAACTATGTGATTATGGGCCTTTGGCTGCTATGCTTCAATAAGGCGTTGGTTCATGAACTTATTCATGTTACAAGTGCCATATATTTATTAAATGCTGGAAAATATGTTTTTTCGGCTTATGTGGTTCAACATTAGTTTTATTTAAAAAAAGTCAAGTTCATTATGAGACCTTATGGCTTGATTTTAACTCAAATGAGTTTTGGGGACATTTGTCCAACTTTAATAGCTCAATGTGGAGCTTTGGGTGTCTAATGTTTTTATTGCATGGCTGTTTGGACATTACATGTTTTGAGTGCGCTAGTCATTCAATTTGAGTCATATAATTTTAGACTGTAGCACATTGGATCCATAGGATGTGAGTCATTCAGTTCGATGATTGAATATTCGATATTGTGGAGAGGAACCCATATGGGTTGGACTCCAGGACTATAGTCGGTATTATGTAGAGGAACCCATATGCGTTGGACTCCAGGGCCGTTGTCAATATTGCGGAGAGGAACCCTTGTGGGCTGGACTCCGAGACCATATGTATTGTGAATGTGACCTCTTGTTGAATCGGATTCTGGGAGCCTGGTATTATGGTGATGAACTAGTAAGGAGTCAGGCACTAGGACCTATGTGTTGAAACTTTGACCGAGTAGAGTTGACACTTAGTCATCGGAGATATTTTAGGGATTCGGGTCCCATGACCATTAGCTTATAACTGTAACTCAATATAACATGTAAATTGACGTTAACGTCAGGGTATTATAGAGATGAACCTGTGAGGGGTCGGTTCCGAACCTTGGGTATTGCAGTGGAAACTTAAGAGGAGTTAGACACCAATATTGTGATCTTAAGGCGCTACTTAATAATGTTGACACATGAATTACTTTGTGTTTCGCCGTAGTCGACGAAAACGGGTCTTTCCATCACCAAAAGGTATTGCTTTGGGAAGGTTTTAAAGTTGTCTGTTATTAAAGTTTTAAATTGTCTAATTTAAAGGTGTTATGAAAGAAACAACAAATTATAAACCATATGAACAAAAACCATAATTTAATAAATATCGAACGAAAATAACAAACTATGATGACAAAAAAAGTAGTTTATTAATCCAAGGAGGAATAAAAATTCTCTTGTGACCACATAGGTTTAAATGCAGTGACTCCGGGCTATCTGCAAAGCAGGTGGTCGTCTTTGGATTAATCGGCTCGAATAACGGGTTGGATATCCAGGTTAAATGAAAAAAAAAATAGTTTACTCCTCACAAAAAATTGATTGGATGTAGAGATGGACAAATGGGCCCGGCCCGGCCCGTAACCGACGGAGGACCGGGACCGGGACGTACAGGTCCCGGTTGAGGGACCGCCGGTTATGATCCGGTTAGGGTTTTTGACGTTTTTTGGGACCGGGACCGGTTATGTAACCGGTTATAGGCCCGGCCCGGCCCGGCCCGGTCAACGAAAGTCAACGAAACGTATATATATAATAAACCGTATTTTTATTGTATATTTTTAAACATATTTACAACAAAACGTATTTATAAACGTATATATATATATATATATATATATAACAAAACGTATTTATAGTAAAATGTATTTATAATAAAACATATTCAAAATATCATATTACAAACATATTAATAACATATTAAAAATTTATTAATAACCAAAAATTTTAAAAAAAATCATTTTTTTTTATGAATAGGCCCGGTCGGGACCGGTTATGGGACCGGGACCGGGACCGGTTGGGACAACCGGTTACTAATAACCTTGACCGGTTACAAGGAAAATCACCGGGACCGGGACCGGTTATGTCGGAACCGGTTACCGCTGGTTTTTGTCGCGATTAGGCCCGGTAGGGACCGGTTAAGGCCCGGCTCGGGACCGAATTTTGGCCACCTCTAATTGGATGTAAAGGGGCATATTTTGTATTGGGCCGAGCCTAAGGAGCTATTTGAAGGCCCATTTATTGGTGGGTTGGGCTTGGCAGACTGACCCAATCCCATCATCTGTTCTGGTCCTGGACATGTGCTTACGACAAACCCACAGAAAGTCGACGGACGCCACGCCACTCAATTTCATAACCCACCCGTATTCCTAATTGCTTATCTCTCTTCTTCATTCCGGCTACTTTCACGTCCACATACCCGGATAAAATCATCGTCTTACCTCGCTACTTCACGGAATCCAGACATCATACGACGAAGGTGCCATAGCCGGAACAAAACTGGTCTCCCTCTTTCAACTGGTATTCTTACGGTGCATATTCTCCTATTTTCGGTTTTTCTTTCCCTTTTCTCCTCTTTAAATTCATCTTTCTTGAACGCCCTTTTGATCGATTTATAGAAAAACACTTCTTTGTTGCAATCGTGAGCAAAATAATTATGTTTGGAACCTGATTGATGAAACGGGTAATGGGTGTTAATTGGTTTTTTGGCCTATTCAGTATTTTCGGAGTTTTGGGATTTTTCTAGAACTAGGGTTTGCGATGAAAAGCCGATCGCATCGTCTGCCGACAATTTCGGACACACCCGATGACTGGGTGGACGAATCTTGGACGGTGGATTGTGTGTGTGGGGTTAATTTTGATGATGGAGAAGAGATGGTTGATTGCGATGAATGTGGTGTTTGGGTGCATACCAGGTGCTCGCGATATGTCAAGAGTGAGAAATTGTTTGCCTGCGATAAGTGTAAAAGCAAGAAGCTTAGAAAGGAGAGTGAAGAAACGGAGGTTGCACAATTGTTGGTTGAGTTGCCTACTAAAACATTGAGGATGGACAGCCCGTATCCCATGAGTTGCCCACCTCAGAATCCATTACAGGTTTGGACCGAGATTCCTCTAGAAGAAAAGGTTCATGTGCAGGGTATTCCTGGTGGTGATCCTTCTTTATTTGGTGGGGTGTCTTCGATTTTCAGTCCCGAGCTTTGGAAGTGCACAGGATATGTCCCCAAGAAGTTCAATTTTCAATACAGGGAGTTTCCTTGTTGGGATGAAAGGCAGGATGATGGTAACGAAGGCAAGGAAGAAATGGAAACTCGTGCTAGTAAAGGGGCTGATGCTTTGTTTTCTTTGTCAAAGGAGAACGCATTGCCAGCCCAAGTAGCAGCTTTTAGTGGCATGAAAACTCTGGATAATGGAGGATGTGATATGGGTCCGCCAACTACTGATAAGAAGAAACAAGAGGTTGAGAATTATGAAGGTAAACGCCAGCACGGTGGTGTGAGAAGGGAAAGGAGCTTACCGAAGCCTATTGTGATTCATTCAGGCAACCAAAAGAAAGATGATTCCAGGGTGTTCAAGGACCTAAACAGGAAGAAAAATGGCAAAGCTGTGGATAAAGAAGGAGATTCTAGGAAGAGAGATCTCCATTCTTTTGAATCAGGTATTCTTGTGAATTTTAAACTGTTTAGGATTCTGTGTTTTAATGTTTATCTAGTTTTGAGAAATGGTGTTGGGTGTTAGTATGTTACCTGTATGACTCTGCAAACACTAATTAATAAATTTACTGTGAAAGGAAGCGTAATAATACATGTTTACTTTACTATAATACTAGTGCCCACCACGTCAAGTGATGCAAAACACTCAGAATCATACGAAGGCAAAGGTCTTAAGGTTTTCAAGACTGATAAGCAAAGTTGCAAACATGAAAATTCAAGGGAGGATGTGCAGGCCAATCATAAATCAGGCGGTTGCCTTGACATGTTCAACACCAATAACAACCCCTCCTCTAGTGGACAACCTTCGGAGAAAGTACCTTTTGATGATTCAGGACTAAATCCCTCAAAAGAAGCAAAACAAATGGAAGAAAATGATGGAAATCAAGTTCCTCCAAGTCTTGAGATTTCTCCTCAAACAGAGGATGGCATGGCATCATCACTAATACACAATCCTATGGAAACTATTACCATGAAAGATGAGGTATGTAACAATGTAATTCATATTTGCAAATATCCAGTAGCTCATGGTTTTGAAGGATAGGAGTTTGGATCCATCTAAACCTACTCAAAGCTTAAAATATTTGGAGCCGGACCACGTTTGTAGTAGCATGATCTTATCTGTCTAGGTTCATTTTTTATTTCAGCTCTTTAGCCTGCCAATATCCTCATAGGCTGTGGTGAACCTCTAGGAGGCATTCATTAACCTTTCCTGATAGCCTAGCTAATATGATATGCTTGTGTGGTGGGACTTGTACATTCAAGCCAATATTTCCTAGGAACCCTGAAATACAATTAGATCTAACTGGCAACTGCATGGATCACACATTTAATAAGCTATTAAGAAATTGATGTATGGTTCTCCAGAAATCTAAAGGTTCCGGCCTTTCTTGTTTGTAAGGTTATAGATGGTGGTTGTCATGTACAGAAGCTGTAGCAGTATCTGTTAATCGAATCTTTTTTTATATATATTATTAATCTTGATGTATTTATAGGCCTCCTAGGGTTGTCTGCGTGGGTTTAACTTGCATTTCCTTACCATCTAAACGAACATTAAGAATATATTTCAAATATAACATGGACAAACTTTAAGCACCTGCTATAAAGAAGGTAGAGATGAAGGAACAACGCATAAGATTTTATTTTTGCATTTGTCATTTGATTTTATATGTTTAAGATGGGTGGATATCATGCTTATTAAGTCAATATCATAGGTTTCTGAATGATTTCGTGCTACTGCTATGACTTCTAATATAAGGTGCCATTTAGTAAAATAAAGTTTAATAGATCTTCGTAGCGGTTGCAAATAAGTAACTGGAGCTTATAATAAGATAACAAAATTAAGATGATATCTAGAAGTATAGTAAAATCGATGATAAGAGCAGACAATGTGAACAATGAGAAGAATAACACATACCCTCACTAGGGTTTGTCCATGAGAGCCACTTGAAACACAAAACAAGGATAATATCACTTCGAAAATCTTAGATTCTGCGCAAAATAAAAAGGATACCATGTAACAAGCTGGACTCATTTCTACCATCAGTACTCTGAACTTGCAGTGAACATGAAGAAAGAAAACTATCCTTATTGGCTTTTCGAGTTAACCCTTGGACGAAATCCATTGGTTTAGGTTCTATGCAATTCCAAGATCCTAGGTATTCTAGGTTTGAAATCCTTGGTTCTATTTTAGTTTTTTTCCCCGTATACTTCCTCAACGTAATCTGCCCTGTCTTGAATAGGATTTAGATACAGCTTATGTTTTGCTATATTTTATAACCTTGTATGTATATATATAGTGTGCGTATTATATTTAAATGTGTATGCTAAGGAATTCATGTTTGTTTTCATTTAGTTGGGTCACAACTTTTTATCTGAAAGGCGAGTGTCACACAGTTGTGGGATTAGGAGCAGGTGAGGCATGCTTTATGCCAAATAACTGTTTGATGGGAGGGTTTTGGTCCAGCTTGAGCTTAATTGTTGTAGCAAACACAGGCAGTGCTATTTTTTATCGTTGCATGGAACTGATTTTCACATTTCATTTAACACACAAGTTAGAGCTCATTGCACCTGTCTCTACAGAAATGGATATAGAAGAAAGAAGATTCTTTAAGTACAAAATCTTTTTTATCTTTTTTTTTTAATAACCTGGATATCCAACCCGCTATGCGAGCCGACTAATCCTAGGCCACCACCCGCTTTGCGGGTAGCCCGGAGTCACCGCATTTGAACCTCCGTGGCCACAAGGGGATTTTTTATTCCTCCTTGGATACGAACCTGGGACCTCTAGGCACTTTTGACCTTTGGAGCCCGAGCTTTTGACTGTAATTGGCTTCTATATATTTTTAAAATGCATTCAGGTGTAAAGCGTAATATTGTTTTAATATTCTTTTTCAGGTCGGCCAGGATGTTGTTGATGATGTGAATGAGAATAGAACAAGTTGCAGTAGAAGTAATGGAACTCAGTCTAACGTTAACAATCTAGAAAAAGTGGGGTTGGCCCCAAATAGTGAACTCCATGCCAGCCCATTGCGATCAATTGAAGTAAAAGCAGTAGAAACCAATTGTCCTGGAAAGACCTCTAATTCTGAAATTCTTTCTAGTGATATAAAGTTAGATAGCTCCAAAACTGTGCCCCAAGTTACAAGAATTTCTAATGATCCTTTATCTGCAAATTTTGAAGTCAAGAAAGAAGCTGTATCTGTGTCACAAATCTATAAGGTGCAAAATGTTGACAAAGGCCTACCACATGTTGATGGTCAAGCCGATGAACCTGATGAACCACCCTGCGGCCCCAGCCAGCCCAAGGGACACATTAAGGGATCAGAAAATTCCACAGTAGCTCGGGGTTCTTCAGAATTTAAACATGGGGCTGGACCCCCGGAAGGCCTGTCCAAATCACATGGAACAGTTAGAAGTCCTTCAAGAGCACCTAATCAATGTAAAGTGGCGGTATCAACAGTAGTGAAATCTTCTGTTGGAAAACCTTCAAAATCATCTGTTCCTGATAAGGCGAGATATTCCAACGCTGATGATCGTAACTCAAGTGGGAAACAGAAGGGAGTGTGTGATAATAACATCAAGGGTAAAAGAGATAATGCTAGTGAATCACCACGGATTGGAGATGCTAGTGAGAAGCCTAAGAAATTAGTAAAAGACCTTCCAAAATCATTGTCTACGTCTGCTCTAAAATCATCACATTTGAGCAAATCCTCACATGCTCCTGTTTCCAAGAAGAACTCATCTGATTCAAAGGACCCTGCAATCTTATCATCCTCTAAAAATTCTTCGGTACAGATAGCTGCTACACCAGATTCTGGTGACTCCGCCAATTCATTGCGAAGTGAGAATGGTACACTTGAACAGAATAAAAGTACTTCAGAGTTATCAGGAAGAGGTGAAAAGATCAATCAGTTAAATAGACAGCCTGCACCGAAGAACAATCCACCACATGTTCACCCCCTTCCATCTACCAACCCACCTGCAACTTTAAGTGATGAAGAGGTATGAATAAACATGGATTTTTTCATTTGAAAGAATTGAAATATTCTCAAGTATCACCCACTTGAATATGATGTTTCTGTTTTGCAATATGCTTCCCTACAGCTTGCTTTGCTTCTTCATCAAGAACTCAATAGTTCTCCTAGAGTTCCTCGTGTGCCACGTATGCGCCATGCTGGAAGCTTACCTCAGCTAGCTTCTAGTACACCTACAAGCACACTAATGAAACGAACTTCATCTTCTGGAGGAAAGGATAATGGATTGGTAAGCTTCTTTGATTTAAATGTTTTTGTAGCCTATGTCTAGATTTGTTGTAGGTGCAGCTGATCTCATTATGGAAAGATTTGGATAGGTTTCAAGAAAGAAAAACAAGGATTTAGCAAATAACGGGCCAAGCAATTCTCGCGAGTTTGATGGAGCAAAGAAGGTGGATAGGCTGCCGTCTCTGCCCAACTCAAGGAGGCATGACCTTATGAAAAATGGATCGGCTAAACATATTGATAAGAGTGCCCCTCCTGCCTCAACAACTGCAAGCAGTGGTCCATCTTCTTCTAATGAAGCTAATGAACACAATATGTCCTCCACGCGCACATCCCCTCAGAATGCTTCTGATGACGAAACAGTAGCAATTGGGGTTCCTACCCATCGCACTTTACCAGGTCTGGTTACATAACAGGATCAATATGTTCCACTGTTTGTAAAAGCTGTCATCCTTGTAAAAGTTGTCATCCAATGGTAGATATTATAAATTTTTTACAGGAGATGTATTTTGTGTGACATATCTCTTCTTTTTCTAGGCTTGATTGCTGAGATTATGAGTAAAGGCAGGCGGATGACCTATGAAGAACTCTGCAATGCAGTTCTGCCGGTATAATTGCTCAGTAGGATATGCTTTTATTGTTGGTTCTTCAATTTTTGCATGTTAATGATCATCTACTCCTTTTCAGCATTGGCCCAACTTGCGTAAGCATAATGGGGAGCGTTATGCGTATTCAAGTCACTCGCAAGCTGTTCTTGATTGCTTGAGGAATCGGAGTGAATGGTCCAGACTGGTTGATCGTGGTCCTAAGGTATGCTCTTAAAAGTGACTATTAATCGTGGTAAAACTTCATATGGATTAGATATACTTTTATCTTCAACGAATGACCCTGCATACAATGGGCCTCCATTAGTTTGCTGTATTAGTTCCTTTTTGGGTTATTTGGGCTCAGAAACCCAAGCACCCTTGTGTTTATTGTACAATTTCCTTTGTTTACTTGGTGAATTCTGAAGGAAATATTGTAATGCCCCATGGCCCAAAGCAGCACTAAAATCATGGTGGAAGTTATTGTTAGCCTACAACTTTGAGCTTATAAGAAGCTCACATATCTTAGGGCCTGTTTGTTAGCAGCTTGATGAGCTTAGCCGGACTCGCAGTTTATTCGGTCAGCTATACAGTTTTGTTTGGTAGTAGTTTAATGATATAGAATTTGGCTTTTTCAGTAAGCTTCTAGGGGGAGTTTTATGAAGATGACCAAGTTTTTTCCAAACCTGTCCCTCCTAATTAAAATACGCATCTTCCATCTATAAAAAAACCCTTCCAAACAAAAACTCTCTCTATTCATACAGACAGATTAATCCACAAACTTCATCCATACAGGAGTTGATGGAAAATCAACCAAACAGCCCCTTATTTTCTATCCATGTGATTGGGTTGCAGTCAAATTCCTCATTTATAGTCATGTTGAACAGTTGAATGCTTGTGTTTTCAGACAAACGCAGGTAGGAAGCGACGCAAGTCTGAAGCTGATGCACAGAATCTGGAGTCAGAAGAAGATGATTATAGCACAGATAGAAACACAAAGGACGTAGATAGCAAGAGTTTAGAGTCCCAGCGGAGTGGAAAGCAGAAAGCACGAAAGCACAGGCGCCTTGCTTTGCAGGGAAGAGGAATCAAGGATGTTAGGAGGAGACGGAAAGCTGAAGTTCTTAGTGATGATATTGATTCTTCTGATTCTAGCGAAGAAAGTGCGTTCAGCGATGAAGGAGGGACAAACGAGGCCTCTGCTAGCTCAGATGAGATGGGAACAATGAGTTGAACGTAAACGACCATTTGACGATCACCACTGTTTCATCTCTTTGTAAGTATGGAAACAATGTTAGGATCAGAAACTGCTTGTTGTACTTTTAGCATTAGATTTTTCCATAACTGTAAGGTAGGAGGACAGAACAGTAGCAACAGTAGTGTGAATGTATTAATTTAGCTGACTGATGATAAGGATATTTAACTGTAGTTTGTATTCCTAATGATCCAAATCCAATATGGTTTAGAAAACTTCTTGGATGTATGCTACCCACATATATATACATATAAATATATAGAGAGAGACTTGGGATCATGTGAGACCAAAGGTTTTTCGTGAGACTCGTAAGACCAATTTTCAATCCTTGGATTAGATCTACAATCTCAACATTCATAATCACAAAATTGCCACGAAACTTCTCAATAAATCATAAAATTGCCACCGTGCAACTTTAGATCATTAGGTTATAAAGTTGATCAATCAACATAAATTGGTCTTACGGGTCTCACGAAAAACCCTTGGTCTCACGTGAACCCAACCCTATAATATATAATATGTATATATATATATAATATATATATTATATATATGTATGTATATACACATAATATTTCCTTTCTGGGTGATTTATGTTTTCTGGTTTCTCTAATATTTGATATTTGAACAAAGTCCTGCAAGTAAACTGAGCTACATATAACATCATACATGCATATGATTCCAATGAAAGAATTGTAACAATAAAGCTTCTCTATCTGCTACTTTTTCTACCTCCATTACAGATGGTTTTAAAGATTCCTTCCTATCTCTTTATTCCACTTTATTTGTCTTTAATGCTCTGATTGTATCATATAACATTAAAATAAAACTGAAAAACTGAGCTGGGGGTGATGGCTTTTCATAACAATGAGATCGAACCCACCGCCATTAATGATATGATTCTAATGCTCCTCCAGGAAACTCTTCCCTGGAAAACAAATAAAGATAACATCTTGCTTCAATTCTCGAATAAAAAGATTCTTCTCTATAATCCAAGAAAACTTTATACAAAGACTAAAAGGTAAAAAAAAACTTACCGCTGACGAGATTGACATATACCCGCTGGAGGGGTTCTCCGGCGGCAAAATATATGACGGTGCATTTGTTCCGGTGTTGTTGCTGCCGGAACTGGAAATCCCTGAGAATCCGAGATTGTAAGCTGGAGTTCCGTCTGGCTTAAACAAACCATAATTCCTTTCTGAAGTTGGTCCCGGTTTCAAGTTCTCATTGAACATAGCAAAAACGAAGATATCCAAATGGGAGTTCGGCATTGCCGGCGTTCCTTTCTTCTGACTCACCAGCTTCAATAGGTTCCCGTTGTACTTCTTAGCATTTTCCGGCGTTGCCCCGACCTCATCTTCGTCTCCCTTGGACGGCCAGCCCGTTTCCGATATCTGAACCGGCAGAGTCTTGTAGCCTAAAGAACCCAGAGCTGCGTACACAGCATCAATCTGAGCAAACAACATGTTGTCGTAATGCAGATTGTTGCCGGAATCATCAATTCCATCGGTGGGCTGAAACAGGACGAAATCCAACGACACTTGCTTTGGGTTGGCCTTGTATGCAAAGAAAGGATAAGCATTGATGAGGAATGGAGAACACGATTTCGAAAGGAAGTCCAAAATGGGAGAAAGACACCCTTTTAAGTCTTGCCGGAAAGCTCCTGACGATGGCGGATAAGAGGTTTCAAGTACGGCGAGCGAATGTGCGGTAGTGACGGTAACCTGACGATCCAATTTGAGGTTAACAAGAGCTGTATGAATGTTCTGCATCGCCGGAAGTAAGCAGCCGGAAAGAGAAGTATCGTTAAATGTCAAAACTTCATTCCCGACGGCAATGGAGGTGATTTTAGTCGCCGGAAGGTAAGTTTGAACGTTGGACTTGACCCATGATTGAGCACTATCTAAATCTTGCATTTTCGACAAGTACTCATTACCAAGACCGACGATGAACTCGACGTTGGTGCCGGCAAACGCCTTGAGGACTTTAGGATCAGCATCATAGAGCTTGACTCTATCGGCACCAATGGATTTCACTAAAGGAACCACCTTTTCCGGTGATGGAAGATTGTTGGCAATCTGGCCGTAGTTGATTCCGATCGAAGAGACCACCACCACTAGATAACGGTAGAAAGAAAATGTCATCAGATTGGATTACAGAAATGGGAAGCAAGAGATAACAGGGGAGAAAGATTTTACCCGGAAAGAGAAGAAAGAGCACGGCGGAGGAGCGGAGGAGATGGGTGGTGAAATCCGCCATGGATGAGTGGATGGCCGGTGATCCAAGTGGTAGTAATATTCAAGATAAGCCAAGTGACACCGACTGCAAGTGTTCCATCACCTTTTGGACAGAAATTCCCAAACAAAAAGAAACCGATTTTGATGTAGTTTTCTTTGCTACGTTGCTTCTGTCATAAATTACGTATTCCAATAATAAAAAACTATCAAAAAAAGGGAATAATTGAAGAGCAAGAAATGAGTGATGGTCATTTGATATGGCTGGCACACTAGATTCATTGCCTTTTTAATGAATTTGAGCTACTAATGTTTAATATTTGATGGACATATATCTGTAAATCGACCTAATTCGATATCTCGGGTTTTCTAACAGCACGTTTTCAACGAACCCCGGATGGCTTTTGGTATACGTAAATGGTAAAAAAGACACGTGAACTAAATGGGAGGAATCTGAAGAAAATTTTGAATCTTTCGGCCAAGAACCAACCCGAAGCTTTAAGTTGCATAATGTCATTCATATATGCTCTTAATGTTTAAGGGTTGTTTGTTTATCTTCTAATAGTTTCATTAAGAGACGGTCTCTGAATCGTTAAAAGGAATCTTGTTTGGTAAAAAAAAAATTTGTCTTTTAATGGTTCAAAAACTCTTTGAATTATTTTGTATCATGAGCCTCCATTAACCATTCAGCGTCAAAATTTCATTGTAAACAATTACCAAACAATTATATTTCATTTTGCATTATATCATGAGTCTTTTAATCATTCTGTATCAAATCATTCAGCAATTGTCAAACAACCGCTTAATGTCCATTTCTGATTTAGATCTTGTGGACTTCCAAAAACCACAATGAATGGTTCATACGTTATTTTTAGTGTCGTTTTTGTTACGTTATATTTACCAATTGTTTGAAAGAAAATCTAGGAGGATGTGGACCCTAAGGTCTTGGGATTCCATTGATATTCTTATAATCACTTGGAATTTTCTTACTGTTGTTATCAAAGTCTTGTGGGATTAGACAAAGATGCATGCATCAAGTAGAGCCGGATTAGACAAAGATGCATGCATCAAGTAGAGCCACTGAAATACATGCGAACGGGCTCCGTTCAAGTATTGTTAGAAGAGCCACTGAGATGCACGCAAACTAGCTCAGTTCAGATATTCTTAGAAAGACCCAGAGGATTTTCCTTATTATTTATCTTCATAGTCTCAAGCCCTTGAGACCTTTAAGGTGGATCAAAAACCAACTAAAACATCCAATATGCTTTTAGCCGAATTCTTGGTTGCCATTATACAAAGAACACTTTCCTACTAATCATCTATCCACAATTGTTTGGTTGTTTGGTTTGTCGGAATAGGAATGAGAATGCCGAGGAATACGAATGAGTTTCATTCCCCCCAATTTGTCAAAGAATATTATAAGAGGATATTTGATTAGAGGTATTAACCAGTAATGAGAATGAGAATGAAAATAAAAGAAATTGTATTATATTATAGAATATAATGGATTCATTACCTCACATGCCCAAATTTTCATTCCAGATTAAACTGCCCATTTTCATTTCGTTATCATTTTCATTTTCATTCCCGTACAGACAACAAATGACTGTATTTAGTAATGACTCATTCCATTCCATCAAACCATTCAACTATTTCCATTTCCATTTTCTATACACATCCTTAATTCCTCTTTAACTTAAACTGTCAATGAGAATCTACAACAATTCATCTATGAACCATTGTCAAGGGACGAGTAAACATCATACAGTTTTATATACAGAATAAGCCCACCAAGAGGCCTGAAAATATGATTGATGACACATACATTAACCATTAGAAACAGATGATTTTCAAATAAAGATTTCAAAGAGTAGCCATTTGTAGCATAGAGGAGGTTTTTCATTTAAGAATCTTAACCACCTATTTCAGTATTCATAATGAATAGACTTGAATAATCATGACATTCATCATGAATACTAAATAAACTATCCTCATCCTTTTAGCATATTTAGCATTATAGCAGACAATAAGTACTTCCCTTCAATGGGTTCTTCCAAAACCATGTTTTCTTCACTAACTCAAGTGTTCATTGATCTGAAACTACACCAGAAAGCTATGCAATTTCTGAATGCATCAAGAGTTGAAGAAAAAGATGATAATGCTCAAAAGGTAATACATTTGGCGCCCAACAAATTGGGATCTTAAACTCAGAAAGAAACGATATGATCCAACCCCATCACACCAAATCAAAACGTCACAATCCTACAACCAATTGTTCCTCTTCCTAAATGAAAAAGGAAAAGAAAAAGATTGCAACTTTGGCATGAAAAATGGTTGGAAATGGAAAACCTGCAACTTCTGTCACTTGTGGGCTGTCACCAATGTCTCGATGAACCTTAACCCATCGAACCTCGGTGCGAATTTCTCCTTCTCTAAACTGCTTTCTTCGCCTATTCGCCCTCTCAATTCCTGTTAAACCACACAATAATTACATCCAGTTAACCAAGTACATATAAACTGTAGTCATAGAGCAACAAAATCTTGAAATATGGGGGAAAAACAAAGATGAGTTACCTGGAGATTAGGGTTTGAATGGGAGGAGGAGAGAGCAGCTGTGGATGCAGCGAGAAGAGATGCGACGATGGTAGAACACGAAACCTTCATCATGATGGTTATAGGACGAAATCCGACGAGCACCGCCGGATCTCGATGAATTCTGGTATCTTGTTCAACACCCTGAACCAAGATGGATGCCCATTTTATACATCGATTTGGGGATTAAACCCGATTTAATTCTGTTATGGGGTCCGCTTATTCGGTCGTATTGATGCTTCCAAGGTTGCTTTAGGGTTCGATTGAATTCGAGTAAAGTTTGGGTGATACCTTTGCTCAATTCTATCAAAATTAAATAAACGAACTCTCTATTAAACATTTATGAGTAAAAGTTGTTACTTTCACAGTTAATATTTACTTATCGGATAATGTTTTAGACTTTTAATCCATTAAAATAATATCGTATGTAACAATTTACCCGATAAACGTTTACCGTGGTAAGAATCGTCGCTCTCACTTACCGGATAAGACTATTGGTCTTTGTCTCATTCTTACCGGGTAAGATTTTTGGTCTTTATCATATTCACATGTAAAGTAATGTGATTTTGTGTTCATTTACCCGAATAAGTATTTGGTAAACGACCCCTTAGTTGGTCATTAATTTGTTGCACCATAATCCAAATGATTTTTTGTTAAGGCTACTTATCAGTTAGCACATATTGTAACACCCGAAAATTTATAAATAATGACTAGTTTAAAAATTTTCGATAAACAGTAAATAAGAGATAAATTCATTTCTAAATGTCAACACTTGGTTACCGATGATGAAAGTTTAAGATTTAACATCATCGTTTGATAAATCATGCATTACACAAAGTCTAGATTAGGGATGAGTGTTACTAAAATCCAACAACAGTCGTTATCTCCAAATAAGGAAGACGTCCCCGAATAACTAAATCTTTCTCATGCCTTTAACTAGCACTCAACTCTTCATAGTATTGCTGGTATTGTTCCCCAACAGGGACCTGATGCACATGCCGATAAGGAAGAAGAGTTAGGCTCAACGTCTAGCGAGTTCAAACAGTTTTCATCATAACTAATTATAAAATGGTAAAATGAGAAAAATGCTTATTTAAATCATAATTTCTCAAATGAAACATTTTTTTTTATCATGAAAACAACATCTTTTCAAAACCCACCAATTTCGTGATGAAATCGCGGTGATCACAAAACTCATTTTGTCATGAAACCAAAACTCAATACTAACCGAAAACGTGAATAAAGCTTAATATTTAAATACTAAAAACATATATAACACTCTATTATCCAAAACATGGATAAGGTTCAATACCCAAACCACAAATCATGGATAACACTTCATGCCCAAAATATCACTGAAAACATGGATAATACTCAATACCCAGAACAACATATTCCGATGACGAGGGAGACACGTATCCATCGAATGTGGCGACCACAAAGCAAGTCATACATCAAAGTTGATGAGCCCCCACTACGGATCACACAGTCATCAAGTTCAATCACCTACAGTCTAAAGCTTGAGTCTTCCGGTCCACAAATCCTAGCTATGTTCGTTCACTAGAATTATAGCCGCTATGTGTCTCACGATCATCAAGTTCAACCACCCACAGTCTATAGCTTGAGTCATCCACTATGGATCACACAGTCATTAAGTTCAACCACTCACGATCTATAGCTTGAGTCCTCCATTGATCTAGGATATTTCTAGCTACCATACATGGACATCTATCTCATTTCAAGCCAACAAACTGACTCTTATATCTATGGATCCATTGCATTATTGCCTAAATTACATAACTCCAGTTGAGTGATCAACACACTCACAACATGTAATTTTCAAATAAATGTGTCATAAATACATATCATAACCAAAGCTCAACATAGATTAATTTAAATTGGACAAATGTCCCAAAACTCATTTGAGTTAAGATCAAACCAGTAACTCAACAATTTGTTTGACTATTCAATAAAATATAAGTATGTAGCATTTAAGCAACTTATACACCAAAACTAGTATTTATATCAAATCCAAGCCAAAAGCTCTTCGACTTGTTTGACTAATTCAAAATAATCCATCATAAACCCCAAACTGCATTTAAAAGGTTTAATAAATCTCATGACCTAAATTACCACAAAATCCAATAAAACTCGAACATGTGCGTTTTTGAATGATTTACAAAATCAGCATACCAAAAAAATGCATTGATATCAAATAATCCTCACGAAATAAATCATCAAAACCCACACGCTTTATGATTTATTGCGAAAATATCTTAAAACCCAAGTATATATACTTCTCAAGATTATATATAACCAAATGGCAAAAGATGCAATTTCATCAAGTCACCACCGACAATTATCTCCCACTACAACAACCTCATCCACCACCTTCCATCGCCACCTCCACAACCACCGTCCATCGCCACCTCCACAAACACCGACGACCACTGTCTATCACCACCAACACTACCATCATTGGCCACCTCCACTTTATCCTCTATTACTACCTTTTCCACCACCTATACAACCACAGACCAACCACCATTGTTCATTGTCGCCACCACTACCACCATGGACCACCTCATCTCCACTATAACCACCACCAGCGACTACCATTGCCACTGCCACCATCAGCCACCACCATCAGCTACCACTGTCACTATTTTCACATCCTCTACAACCACCGTCGCCCACCGACCACCCCCATCCATCTCCACCGCCACTAGTACCGTCGGCCACCACCACCATAACCAACACCACCTTCCCCAATTGATGGAGATCTTCTAGCCCGAATAAAACATAATTTCTTCTTTGTACAAATCGAGTTTTTTTCAAATTACCATCAATTACATAAAAAAAAAATTCAAATATGGTACTATTATATATGTATGCATTTATGTATATGAAAATTGTGTAAAAATATTTATAAATTAAATTATTTACTTTATTTGTCTTAATTATAACTATTATATGATATATAAAATCATCAAAGAATTTTTAGAAGCAACTTGTCTAGTTATGTCATGTCCAGTACTAATCGTACCAAACTTCATACTAACACTTATTATGTCCAGTCCTACCCTCTAATTTTGTCAAATCCTATCTAGTCATATCCAATCATATATACATATTAAACACTACCTTAAAGAACCGATTATGTGATTTCATTTTTGTTAGACTGGATTTAGGTTTACCAGATCCAAGGATGAGAATTGTAATGGGTACCCATGATTTTTGGGTAAAGAACGAATCTTTGTGAGATATCATCATCATATTCACAATTCATACATACATGCATACATACATACATGCATACATACATATAAAGCTGATGGTTTCATGCTTTTTTATCTTTCTGAATGAAAAAAATGGTGTGTTGGTGGGAAAGAAATAGAGACGATGTCTCCACCAAAAATCTTGAACAAATTTTTTTTAATGGAAACCCTAACCTGCCAAACCGCTATGTATGGCGTCTTGTCTCCACGTTCATTTGACTTGGATACTCCAACCCTTTTATATATATATATACAACACTTCTTCCTTTCATCTCCTCCGCTACTTCCGGCGACCATTTCAATCTCTCTCTCTCCGATCTCTTAATTTCCATCGTATTACCAAGGTCTGATCTTTTTTTCTTTTCTGTTATTGACTGTTTGCTTCCATCGTCTTTCTTGTTAAAAGATCGCCAATCTTTACTTTAAAGATTAATTCGATCCCACAACCAGTCGTGGCTCTGTTAGTTAATCAAATGAGCTACTGGTTAACAAGATTAGGGTTCTAATAGGTCTTTCGATTCTCTGTAAATTAGTAAAAAGGGTATGTGATTTTACGTTAATTTGGTTTTCCCATTAGTCTTTCTGGATTTTGAATTGATTTGAAATGTTATTGGATCATCCCAATTTAGTTTTGGAAATTTGTGTTGATGATATGCAGTTCTATAGGAGAGATGATGATAGCATCATGCCAATTTGATTTTCCTACTAGGATATCAGTATTTCGTGTTGATGGTTTGTAGTTTTATAGGATGATGAATTAATTACAAGTTTATGATACTTTTATGTTAGAAATGGCGGAACAGAAGCGCGCTCCCCGCTTGAACGAAAGGATCCTGTCTTCGTTATCCAGGAGATCTGTTGCTGCTCATCCTTGGCATGATCTTGAGATTGGTATCTTCGATCAATATTCGCTTAAAATGCTATTCGTTTGCTATGCCGAATTCAAGATTATTGACCCTTACTTACCTACACAGGACCTGGAGCTCCCCAGATTGTCAATGTGGTACGTAAATAACTAAAAGAATGCACTGAATCCCACACGGAGTAGGCTCTGGGGAGGGTAGGATGTATCTTGGCCTAAGGGGTAGGATCTGCAGTGGGTAGGATGTATGCAAACTTCGCCTATGGCCCGAGGGGTAGGGTTTAGGGAGGTAGCATATATGCGGACCTTACCTCTGATCCAAGGGGTAGGATGTATGCAGACCCTACCTATGGTCTGTTTCCAAATTCTTGTCATCAATTTGTTGTTGCCAATGCTAGATTGTCGTATAGACTATATACCAATCTATGCAACTTTCAATGGACTGGTTTTGTTGGAAGGGTCCTGACAAATTATAACAAGAAATCAGCCCTGATAAACATAGTTGTTGTGTACGCTTGGAATAGAACCATGGGTAGATGGATATTCCACCACATCCCCAGGGCCTCAACCACTACGCCACAACCCTTGTGGTTTATGGATTTCTGTCCATTGGTTACTTGGCTTCATATTGAATTGTGATTCGTAAACAGGTTATTGAGATTACAAAAGGAAGCAAAGTGAAATATGAACTTGATAAGAAAACTGGGCTCATCAAGGTATGATGATCGATACTTTGATGCAGAACATGCCTCATGATTATATCCTGATGAACTTGGAATTTAATTGTGTGTGTTAATGAGCAGGTTGATCGTATCTTATATTCATCTGTGGTTTACCCTCATAATTATGGCTTTATTCCTCGTACGCTATGCGAAGATAATGACCCAATGGACGTTCTAGTCCTAATGCAGGTATTTATACATGTTTATGACCATCCATTTTCAGTAGATGATAACCCAAGACGATACCTTATGACATGTGCAACTGTGTGGATATGTGGAATCCCTTTTGACTCTGTCTCTACATGAGCTCTTGTAGATATACACACACACATACACACAGAGAGGTTTAATGGTCTGTGCCTAGACGAGGGTAGACCTCTGCTCTGATACCATGTGAGGGTATCTTTGAAAGAGCACTTATAGAGATAGAGGGATATATATATATATATATATGTTTGATGGTGGATGTCTAGCTGGTACGGGACTCCAACAACAAGTGCAATTCTTTTTCCTCCATCCAAGTGTTCATATTTGATAAAAAGTTGCAACTTTTTGACTTGTTGCAGGAACCTGTGCTGCCTGGATGTTTTCTTAGAGCCAGGGCCATTGGACTGATGCCGATGATTGATCAGGTACTGCTACCGTCGTCTTCATCATCAATTGTATGAATGTTTTTTATGACAAAACTTGGGTTTGTGGATTTAGGGCGAAAACGACGACAAGATTATTGCAGTTTGTGCTGACGATCCTGAGTACCGCCATTACACTGATATAAGCCAGCTACCACCACACCGTCTGGCTGAGATCCGTCGATTCTTTGAGGATTGTATCCTTTTAGTTACTTCATTTTCCACCTTTCACTTGTGTTATTTAGTCTGCTGCTAGTATGATTACATGTTTAACATCAACTGCTGGAACAAAATATAATGATTTTTCTTGACAAACGAAAAGACAAGAAAAATGAGAACAAAGAGGTTGCAGTCGATGCGTTTCTGCCTTCAAGTACCGCTCATGATGCCATCCAACACTCCATGTAAGCTCACTTTCATTGAATCACTATGGATGTACAGTTGATTTCATTTACCAAACCAAACCAAACAAATCCAATATATCCCACCTGTCAGTAAGGTCCAAAAAGGTAAGATGTAGGCAGACATTTCCTCTGTCTCAAGAGTGAGAAAATTTGTCTCGTTAACGTTAACAAAAATGTTTCTGATTTCATCCACTGGTGTAAAAACCAAACCAAACAAATCCTGCATGGAAATAGGATTTGGAAGGGTAAGATGTACGCAGACTTTTCTTCTGTCTTAAGAGACGGAAAAATTGTTCCATTCCTTTCGGATGAGGTGGTCGTTAATAAAAGTTTTGATTTTGACGTGGTGCAGGGATCTTTATGCCGAGTATATCATGCAGACGTTGAGGAATTAGATGGCCGTCCAATCATTGGTATTTTTAAACAAGACCCGATTCTTATACGATAACTTGATTACTAAAACGTTGATGATGAGGGTGGCGATTTTTTTTTCTAATTTGTGTTGATCGATAAAAGAACGAGTTCTGGTATTGTTATTTACTTTTATTATTACTAATGTTTTGACATTCAAGTGATAAATTAAATATGGCATGAGATCAACCCCTTATACTTATTGATGAAGTTATAGTTTCCCTTGTGAAATGGTCATTTAACCCTCATACATAACGGAGAAAGTGGATGATTGTTTGGGTGAGGGACCAAACCCAAAATAAATTTTATAGATGAAGGGTTATTGTGTAATAAAAATGAAGATTAAGGAACCAAATTTGTAATTTACTCAGATAGAAGATGTATAAGCGGTTTGACCGTCTATCCCACATACTCGAATGATAGGATTTTTCTTTCATCAAATTAAGTGGGTTTTATTTGCGATATACCCTTGAGTATATAAGAACCTTAAAGTATCGTTTATTTAGTGATATGTTAGGTAGCGTTTGGTATACAGAACTGATGTGTATCTGGTGTTTGATAAAACTAAGACCTAAAAATTATTTGATGATTTTATATATCAACTAAATACAAACTCTTTCATGGTCATGGGAATCTTGGATGCATCCATTGCCCTTTCACCGGAATTCATTATAAATTATATTTTACATATTTTTTATATCCCGCCTATATATACACATATATAAAAAGAGAGGGAAGATTCAAACGAGAACGTTAACTATTTAAGAAAAAAAGAAATAGGTCGTCAATATACAAAATCACTTGTGATTTTACATTAACGTCGAAAAAACTGGAAGCGGACGAGTTTTGCCTCGTGGGCAAAGTCGCAGCCTGACTCGTGTATTATTTTGTACGTTAATCATATGATTTTGTACATTCACGACTTTATTGTTTTCTTATATTATAGACTTGAGATCATGTGAGACAAGAATGTTTTCGTGAGACATGCAAGACAACATTTTTATATTTGAAACTTCACAGCAAAATACTATGAAGCTAACCTTCACAGTGTCTTTGCTGTGAAGGTTCGGTTTTTTTACCTTCACAACATTTTGTCGTGAAATTTCAAGTGTAAAAATGTTGTCTCACGTGTCTCACGAAAACAAGTTGGTCTCACATGAACCCAACCCTATTTTATATATATACATATAGCACCTACTGTGGGAAAATAATAAGCAAGAAACAAAAAGTAATAGTTTCATTGAAGACATGGAAGTTAACTTTGGAATTTGACAAAAGAGAGTGGAGTCTTCCAAAAATAACTTAAACCTCATAGTATCTAGTAGAAGAAAAGCAAAGGCCGGGGTCTAGAATGTTAGGTCCTTAGGATCCTCGATGATCTTTGCTAGAGTCTGCAAGAACTGAGCAAGATCCGCCCCATATATCACACGATGATCAGCTGTAACATTTACCTGCAGTAACAACACAATTATATAATTAACACCCATCTTGATTTCTTTATCCACTACCTTAAAATGTATGCGGACTGAATGACCGACTACAATTGCAACAAACGTCGGTCTACCTGCATCTGACTCTTCATGCCAATCCGCCCATCCTTGGTGGCAACAACAGTCGGCTCAGACGCCCCAACAGCCATGATTGCACCCTGCACAACGCAAATAATTGCTTATCAACTCCATCAAATACTCATAACATATGCTTGCTTGCTTGAGATTAATTATATATTACAAAAACTCACAGTTCCTGGTGGCAAGATGGCATCAAATCGATCCACTCCAAACATTCCAAGGTTGGAAAGGGTAAATGTACCTGCAGCAGCAGGAGATTAAATTAAAATTCAACTTTTCAACACAAAATTTTGATTTCATTTTCAACCTTCTTTTTGTCCAATCAAAGGCTCTTTTGCAAATTTAACACCAAGATAAATAAATATGATGTTCCTAAGTAGCCCTGCCTTCTATAAAGATTATAGAAAAAAGAGCCATATTCCTCCACAACTAATGGGGTATATTATAATGCCTTTTCTGACCAACACCAACTAATTGAGTTGTACATGCACTTGAACCATGCACACATGTGATTCATGTTGTAAACACATTTACTACAACTTGTAAAATCATGAGAAAAATATTAGTTGACTTGCTAAGGCGAAAAACTTTGATAATCGTATGAAACTTATTTTTTATATGTATGTAGAAAATAGTAGAAATAGATAAACACGGTAGTAACACGTATGCTTTGATCTATAGGGGTAAATATAATCGGATGTAGTGGAGTTTTGACTTAGGAAAAATATCCATGAATGGTGCTGGATTTTTCTTTTTCAAGTTCAAAAGTCAGGTGGGAACGGAGAAAGGGAAGTGGGCCGTGGATGGTGAATAGGGTTTCTCTATTTCCGAATAAGTGGGAGCCAGGTCTTTGTTTGGAGAAACCAGAACCTGAAAAGATCCCTCTTTGGATTAATTTATACAATGTCAGATGTGGAAGGAGTGCATAAACTGTATAGCTAGTGTTGTGAGAACCCCTATGTTAATGGACAGAGCCATTGCAAAAATATGTACGAAAAATACTGGAAGAGTTCGGTTTGCAAGGGCCCATGTTGAAGTTTCAAGTGAAGATGGTTAGTGGAGGTTGTGGTTGTGAAATATCGGCAGAGGGAATGGGATCAAAGTAGGGTATCAAAATAGAAGATGGTTATCAATTGAAATAATGTTGCAACCATTGCAAAATATTTGGACATGGTACAGGGGAATGTCTAGTTAGACAGAGAACTGAGGAAGAGGTGGCAGCTAATCTTCTAAAGAATGCTCTCAAGAGGATAATGCTGCTGGTGCAGGTAATGTGGATGGATTTCAGGTGGTTGGGAAGCAAATGTGGATGGACGAGGTGCTAGGATACCACGGGGATGCAATCTGGTGGTCAAAGCAGTGGAATTCAGGGTAGAAATGGTCAGAAAGTTACTTATGAAATTAAGAGGGCTCCAATTGTGCAGGGCACTGAACTGCAGAGAGGAAGCGTTCAAGGGGAATCAACTAGTAAGATAGGGCAGCAAGGGGGGTATGTTGGGTGTAAAGGTAGAGGGTAATAGCACAGTTGCAAAGACTGGTCAAATTGTGAGGACCCTGGGAGATAGAGATCTACTTCACGGATTCAAGTTCTTGGGTAAAGGCTGTTCAACAGGAGGTGGGATCTCGTAAAGACAAAGAAGTTCTGGTTGCACGTCCTGTTAAGAAGAATGACAATATAAGCTAGAAATCCTTAAAAAGGGAGATCTGAAGCTGGAACGGCGGATTATAAGTAGTCACAAGGGGTTGTCTAGTGCACTTGGAATTGAAGAGGGGACAATGCCTTCTTCTAAACAGCTTTGAAGTGCTAAATGCAGCTGATATGGAGTGGGATACGGGGTAATGAGAAAAGGAGACGCAAGTTGTCAATGATTTAGCCACCAAATGATGTTATAGCAAAATGGAAAGAAGCAGTTGGAATACTATCTTGATCAATGTGTAACTGAGGATGTTGCTTCTGATGATGGGAACTTCTGTTTAAATGAAAATCGATAGTGAGGAGGGTGTTAAGCCAAGGAGTTCTTTTTTTTTTTTTTTTGGGGGGGGGGGGGGGGGGGGGGGGGAAGAGGATAGTGCTGTTATTAAAAGGCTTGAATAAAGCCTCTAAAAATAGGAAGTTAAAACTTATTGTGAGTTAAGATATCAAGGTGTGTACTGTGTTGGAAACTAAAGTAACTTTATGCGATCTTGTTAAAGTTTGTGGAGAGGTGTTGGTAGATGGAATTGGGTGTCTACTGTCTAATAATGCTAAATGTGATGGAAGGACTAGAATCATCATTGAGTGGGAATGTAGGATGTTAAGGCTTGAAGTTGTTGAAGATTAATCAGGCTATATTCATTGTGTGATTAGTCCTGTTAATGGAGGAAGAAGGTATTATTGTCCCTTTGAGTATGTATCAAACGAAGTTTTGGAAAGAAGATATTTAAGGGAAAGTAAAAGGATTGAGCTGAGTTTAATTGAAATTCAATTAAGAGAATGAACGTCCAAAGTATCCACGTCCTTGAACCGATAACCATCTTTCGGCTCTTTTTCCAAGTGTAGGATAACCCCAAGGGGTTGTGGGTTTCTTTCTACCAACTGCGGCCTCCACCTAAGCTGCACAGGGAAGGCCCAAAGCCAATCCCAGGGAACAATGACTTCCACTACGTCAATGTAACACTCTACCCCTGAGTTATATCCCTTCCCTGCCCGTTGTTCCTTCATGTATGCGTCAAATGATGTTTTGGAAAAAGGATATTTATGGGAAGGTTTGAGGCTGCATAAAAAGGTGGTTCAGAATGACTTATGGGATGTTACAGGTGAGTTCAATGTCGACCTTAATCCTTGGGAAGCTTGTTCTTAGAGGTACTAGAAGCGTACTAGCGCAATGCAGCGAGATACATCATGATTTTAATATTTCATTTTATTCTTTATCTCAGTCGATGTTATAATATGGCTTTATGTGATTTTGAGAAAGCGATTATGTTTTTATTTTTG